ATTTCTAGACCTTATTCTGTTGCTTCATCTGGGGGTATTTTGTTACTTTGTGTAATTCCTTCATCTTTAATTTGGTCTCTTAACATGACATTTAGAAGAATATTTCAGACTCAGCAACACCATGCATAGCCAAATAAATTTTATAACACGCATACATCTATGTAATAAATCTCAGAAATTATTAATGAGCCACCATTCAACATTCAAACAAGTTAGTTCTTTTAAGGCAGATGACTCATCCTTTTCTTGAGTTCAATGAGGAAGAACTGCTCGGCTTTTTATTTTTATTTTTTTTTAAAGATTTTATTTATTAGAGAGAGAGAGAGAGAGAGAGAGAGAGAGAGACATAGGCAGAGGGAGAAGCAGACTCCATGCAGGGAGCCCGACGTGGGACTCGATCCCGGGTTTCCAGGATCACGCCCTGGGCTGAAGGTGGTGCTAAACTGCTAAGCCACCAGGCTGCCCTGCTTGGCTTTTTAAAAAGTTACAGAATTACAAATTTAGCTCAATCTGAGGACACAATCAACTTTAAAGTGTACAAAATGTTGTGATTCAACTGTAGGTAGCTAAGATGTTCAGAAATCTTTATGGTGAAGAAGGTGGATTGCCTAAGCAGTTCTTCTGTCTTCCAGCTTACGATAGTGGAAGATGTCAACAATTTCTGGTTTACAGCAATAGCAAGAGAGAATGTAGCTAGGGAACCATTAAGAAGGAGCAATTTACTATACCAGGTCATAACACTTTGACAGTGTCCTATAATTCAGTTAGATGTAAAAATAAGAGGACACTGGGTGTTCTCTGAACTCAAAGTAATTTGAACTTGATTCACACTGTATTGTGAACCAGTTGTTTATTCTCAGGTACAAACTTAGCAAAAGAAGTGATTATTCAGTATGAAAACGACAGAAAAAAACTTATTAAGGAAAACTGTGAGCTGTGAAAATAGGAACATGGATTAAAAGTCACACTGAAGGGGAACACCCAGTGAACTAAATGATGTTTACATATAAGAATTTCATTATAAATAGGAAAATATTAAGGACACGAAGAACTTATTACTATAATCTTCACAAAATACATCAGATGGCTGTGAATTCTAAAAGCACTGAGTCTGTGATAGAGAATGATGACAACACAATGCAGGAAAACAGCATGGAATCTGCAGTTAAAATACTGAAGTGTGAACTCTGGTTATTGTACTTACTAGCTTTGTGTCCTCAAGCAATTCACATAATGTCTTTGAGCTTTAATTTTCTCAACTGTGAAATGAGAACAATGCCACACAGGACTCTTGTAAGGAAAAAACAAGCTAACATATACAAATAGATTTTGCAGAATGGAAAAAATCATAAAAATATTTGATTTTTCAATATTGGTTCCATTGTCTTTGTTCATAATTTTCAGCTTCTTTTGCAGTGACATGTCTATCTCTTTTGACCCAGAAAATTCTGCCTTCATTTTTTTGGAGATGTAGAGGTTTTTTTTGCACAAGAGGATGAATACATTTGTTTTATTAGTCAACAGATATGTAGGAAAAAACCTTCAAAGCTCCCAGGACTTAAATATTAGTAAAGGCTTGGTATACAGTGAGGACTAGACTTGATCTTTACCTTCATAATCCATTATAGGGGACTTCTTTTTTAAAACAAAATCATATTAAGCAGCATAATCTTAAAACAGGTAAAAATTGAGGTATGGAGGGAAACTTTTAGGTATCTCTGTGGGGATTTACAGAATACTGTGAAAACCACCAAGCTGGTAGGTAGGCCTCCTCCGACATTTGTGTGCGCCCAGGGCAAGAGTACAAATGGAGATCTCTAGGACCTTGTTTTCCAACTCCTGGCTCCATCCTACATCACAAAGGGCTTCACATACATGAGTAGAGACACCTCAGCAACCATGTCGAAGCTCAGTCCATTCCTCCATCTCCATTCACTTATCCCTTGCCCATCCTTCCAGCCTAGGGGCGCATACTAGCAGCAAGACCTGCCCTGTCCTGGGACAGGACCCTGGGTTGGGTCCTGGGAGTGTACTGGGCTATTTCTTTCTTTTCTTTCTTTTTGAACTGGGCTAATTCAACTGGTGTCTCTAAAGGCCAATTGCATTTCTGGTGGACGATGTTTAAAAGTACAAAGTAAATGTAAATTTTACATGTTGGGAATGGATAAATAAGAGACATGATTATCCTACATCTCAGCTGTTTCTTCTTTCTGCTCTAGTCATAAACCAATACATTCCAGCACAGTGTTAAGAGATTCTCTACATATCTTTCAATCCATCCATGTTTTAAAAAGTATGTTAAAATAAACACTGTAATTCTAAAAAATAAAGAACTGTTTGAAGAAGATAAGTAAAAGCAACATGAAACAAAACCAGTCCACTGCCAAGATATCTGTCAAGAGCATTAAGTCACTTCAACATAGGTATTGTAGTCTCATAATGCATAACCTTCATTTAAGAATACATCTAATTTGTCTTTAGAACAGTCTTTAGCATCTACAGCTCAAGAATGTCCCTGGTATATGTGTTACAGCATCTTTTTTAAGGCCTGCCATACTCAGACAATACTCTACACAGAATACACATATTGACCAAATGTGTCATGAAAGTCCTGAAGCATTCACTTTGTTAAGATCAAGTTTTCCTATTCTAATTTTTTCTTTCTGTAAGTTTCTAAAAGATATTGTTTCTTTGAGACATTATTTCTATTCTAAATTTTTACTCATTGTTTATTTCAAACACATATTAAGTGATATGTCAAGTAATGTGTTAGGAGTTCAGAGTACAAAAATATCAAAGTTCTAAAGAAACCTGGAGTCTTAAGAATGGAGATAATTACAATAGAGAATGAAAAATTCTACCACACATAGATAACGAATATTATAGGAGTTCAAAAGAGGGGGTCTAAAAGGATGTTATGGTTGGAGGAAAAGAAGTGGTATGTAAATGAAGAAAGTACAGGCAAAAGGATATCATGTGCATGTATATCTTCATGTGTATGTGTTCCAGCTGCGGTGGTATTTCTCTACAAATGAACTCTAATGTTTTAATAATTTTATAATATTTACCGCATGCGTGCTGTATGTTGAACATTATGCAAGGGATCACTAGAAATATTAGAGAAACAGAAAACATGATCCTTGCATTCAAAGAATTTACAATCCACTGGAGAGACAACAAAGGTGAACAGTAAATACAATTAGGGCAGTAACAGCAATTAAATAAAATAACTGGAGAATATCCTATATATATATATAGTTGTTTTCCTTAATTTTATCTTCCTTGGTTAAGGAATGTTTCTGCCACGCTGTCTTGAACTCAGGATAGATAGTCTCTGACTACATTTGCCTTCCAAATGACCCATTAAAAAACTACAACTTTGTTCCCCAAATTTGCAATCAGAAGGGAATTGTTGTTGCTTTATTATTCTGGTATGTACATGAACTTATGGAAAATAGGTGAGTTCCAAAATGAGTAAAGGGCAGAAACCGTAGAAACACGCTGAAAAATGACCTCATGGACAGCCTTGTTTATTCTGTTTAAAAATATATTCTCTAAAAAAAAAAAAAATATATATATATATATATATATATATATATATATATATATATTCTCTAGGGGCACCTGAGTGGCTCAGTCGGTTCAGCATCCAACCCTTGGTTTCAAATCAGGTCATGATCTCAGGGTTGTGAGACTGAGCCCACATCGGGCTCTGCACTCAGCACGGAGTCTGGTGAAGATTCTTTCCCTCTCTATCCCCCCCCCTCCATCTCCCTTCCCCTCTGCTCGCTCTCATTCATAAATAAATAAATAAATAAATAAATGAATAAATAAATAAATAAATAAATAAAATAACTTAGAAAAAATATATTTTCTAAAAAGCTTTGGTGTTTTCACTTTGTTTTGATAAACTTACTGAAAATTTACCAATCAAGATTCATTTCTTAGTGGAAAACTTGGATTTGACTCTTGATGTTGCAGCTGCCTGACTTTGGACTATGTGGAAAAAATTCCTTTTCAGGATTATTATAAGAAAAAAAAGACCAAATATGTAGACATAGCTTACACAATTATCTAAAAAAATTCACAAGTGCTCAGCCCATAGGATTACACCTAAATTTGCATCCATCCTTTAAAAATGCACCATTATCTAGGAATTCTAAATACTTGCTAGTGATCTATCACAGCAATGAATTAGTTTAATCTGATGATTTTGCCCTAATTCCTACTTAAGATAGATGGCACCATAGGGTGCCTGGGTGGCTCAGTGGTTGAGCCTCTGCCTCTAGCTCAGGTCATGATGTGGGGGTCCTGGGATTGAGTCCTGCATTGGGCTCCCTGCAGGGAGCCTGCTTCCTCCTCTACCTGCTCTGCCTCTCTCTCTCTGTCTCTCATGAATAAATAAAAAATGAAAATCTAAATCTCACCACAGAACTGACAGGTGAATATAGGGTTTAGAATTACAAACAGGGCACTACAGAATTACATGCAGTTTATAAATTTGAGAGTCTCATCTTCCCAATACTTGCCATCCCCAACTCACTTACTAAGTCATAATTTCTGGAGTGAAGGTTTATGTTTAAAAAGATCTATAGTTGATTCTGAAGATCTAGGTTTGAGAACTTCTGGGATATACAAAGTGAGCTCAGCAACTTCATAAAATAAGGAACACTGGATAAAACAGTATGGTCACAGATGTGGGGCTTTGAAAGTCAATCATAAAAGTTGAGAACTGATTCACAGATAAGAAATCACCAGAGGTTCTTGATCATAGAATCATTTAGATACTGCAGTAGCATTTGGATAAACGATGTTGAAAGAAGACTGATGTATCAATATTATGGAGAATCAAAAAGTCACTTTAATAAGTTACCACAATAATATACTCATGAAGGAATGATAATTTGGACTAACTGATTGCCAATGGGAATGAAATTTATACTATGTAGCTCTCTATACTTTACAATGCCAACAATTATAGATCTCAAGAGTTCACTTACCCACAGTCAGATGGTAGTTGAGCCTGTGTGGAAATAACCTTATTAAACAATGAGCGGTCATTAAAAAAAATAATAATAATAATAAATAAACAAACAATGAGTGGAAGGCCAAAGGCTTATACTAATTCATTATTACTATTATGGTTAAACAATAACATAATGTATAAAAGAAGTAAGCTTTTGAAGGCTAAGTAGAAATTAAAAGTATAAGCAGAATGGGACAGAGAGAAGCCTTTTCTAGTAACACACTAGCCTAATGTTTTTATTACTATGGTTCTTTTTGGTGGTTACTTTTTACTATGAAAATAACTTATAAAGAGAGGAAAGCAGAGACCTATTATTCATATTTAACAACTGTTAACATTTTGCCATTTTTTTCTTTTTTGTTGAAGTAGGCTAAAGAAATTACAGATGACATGACATCTTGTCCCTAAATATATCAGTCTGCACCTAAAAACAAGGAAAATGCCTACACAACCAAGATACAATTATCACATTTAAAATGGTTAATACTAACTCCTTAATGTTAATGTAACATGGTCCTAACTTTTACAGTTATATACAAATCAACATAACATGAGTTTGTATTACATTCCTTCCCCAAAGCAATCTATATACTCTTTTTTTTTTTAATTACTGATGGAAAAGTTAGATAAATTAACTTTGCAAATCCTCTGGATTTTAACTGGCAGTGTGATAGGAACTCTTGTTAAAAAAAAAAAAGTATCATTAAGGAATGTTCATTTGATAATAACAAAGAGAAGTCGCTTGAGGTTTCACACATAGTGATTCCAGAAGACTTTCAAGAGTTCTTGAGAGTATCACTTCTCTTCAAGAGTCATGGGTATGGATTGAACATCAGCAAGAACCATGGCATGCTCAAGACTTTGCCCTTAACAGAACCAAGACCTCTGGCCACTGTCAGATAATCTGTCACTATAAGCTACTTGTATCCAAGCCAGATATTTATTGCTATTGATCTGCCTGGTCCCAGCAAAAGACTTTTGTTCTCCCAGACCGGGACTTTGACCTCAATTAAGTTATGAATTTCAATCCGATAGACTGCTCCACTTACCCTACTGCTCTCCCTGACTGGATTAATTAGAATTAGCTAGGCCGAGAGTCACCCCAAGCTCCTCATGGATCATGTTATTTTAATAATAAATAAAAGAATAGCAGCAATGTACAAGAAGTATTTTGAAAGATTGCTCATCTAGGAACATCATTCAGAACCTGCCAATATCAATTTCTCTGACTTTGATTACCTCATTTACTTTTTATTTCTTTTCATTTATCAGTTTTCCCTTTTATTTCAGCTTTCTAAACATGTTCTTTACATTTAAAAATCAAAGTACTTTAGCACTTTGGTGCTATTTTAGGGTTTCTTTACAGTATAAATCATCAAAGCAATCATTTGCAAGAATGTAACTTAAAAACATTTAATAATCTCAGAGGATCAAGAAAAAACATTCCATCATCTAAGAAAAGTACTAGTCTTTAGCCAAATGCACTTTTCCTATAGTTGGTTAATGCATTAAAAGCATACAAATCAGAATGTCACCAAGAAGGCAACATCCAAAGTTGCAAAGAATAAGAATATATAAATTACATTTGTTTTTAATCCATAATCCACTGGGACAGATCGCATATTGGCCAATGAAAACATTAAATCATGGTGATAACAACAACAATCAGCAGGATCAGATTTGCTAACTATACTGTTCTAACTTGATGATTTACCACCTAAACATAAAACATTTTAAAATGTGAAAATATTATATACGAATGTTCACATTCTGGGATGAGTATTTGGTATTTGATACTGAAATTGTAAGATTTTTAGAACATATAAAGGGAATCCTAAAAACTTCATTTTCAATTGATGTTTTTGACATAGCAAAAACCCTATTAGTTCTTTGATTACTGAAATTTTGAGTTTTGATTTGCTCAAGGGAACATAAAAGAAAGATTAATTAGAATGTCTAAGTCTAATAGTAATTTCAATATTAAAAGCAAAACAAAGTTGAAGCACGAACTCTGCCCTCAAAATGCTGAGAATTCCATGTATATTTGGAAGGTACATTTTGAGTACAAAAGGATATACCATATATAACATTATAAATCAGTGACTTCTCAAGTAATGGGATTGTTCTTATCAAATAATCTTATAGGAAAAAAATAGGCACACATGAAGGTCACTGCCACAATAAATTATATTTTTAAAAAGTACAGCTATTGGATTTAATCTCTATTCCCCCTCTTCTCTCTCACTACCACATACACACTCATTTGGGCTCTGTAGATTATGTAAAACTTCATTCACTTTATGTAAAACTTCATTCATTTTAGAGAAGAGTTTTCTATTTTCCCATGGAAAGGTTCTAAGCTCAAGCACTAGTAAACATTTCCTCTGCAGCACCCAAAACATATCAGTAATCTAGTAAGAAAACAAAACCGGTATGAGGTCTGGACTCTTTACAATATGTGAGAGAATCAAGGATTAAAGAAATAATTTGAGAGCTAAGGCTATTTTCATAATGAGCCACTCAGCAGGAAAAGATCAAATGACAAAATGTATTGTGCTTTGGCAAAAAGCGTCTGTTTTCACACCTGACTTTCATTAAGTTGCATATTCTTAAGTGGGATTAGAGCAATTCTCTAGCAAATCATACAGGTGAGTTAACACATTAGCCCAGACTTTTCAAATGACCCTTAATTAGGGTCACAGGGACAATATGTGAGGGAAAACAGGAATATTTAACATATTTACACCTTCCCTTACAATTGAAATATTTGATATGTAGACAATGACTTCACACTATAAAAAGAGTATAGGAACTACATTTCTAAAGTAATTCTGATTCTAAAGTAATCAGAAATCTAAAAATCTCAAACATTATTTGAAAAACATAAATATTAGTTTATAGCAGCAAAAAGATTAATTATTTAAGAATAAATTTAACAAGACTTGTGCAAAATCTATGTGAGGAAAAATTTCAAATACTCCTGAAAGATGCAAAAGTAGACTGTCAAACAGAAAGACATTTCCTATATCTGAACAGGATGACTCAAGATTATATCAGTTCTCCCTAATTTATAAATTCAATACAATCTCATTAAAAACACCAACAAATTATTTTATGAAGTTATCCAGACTGGTATTAAAGGGGCACTTGGGTGGCTCAGTGGTTGAGCATTTGTCTTTGGCTCAGGTCATGATCCCAGTCCTGGGATCGAGTTCCGCACTGGGCTCCCCAGAGGGAACCTGTTTCTCACTCTGCCTATGTCTCTGCCTCTCTCTGTGACTCATAAATAAATAAATAAAATCTTAAAAAAAAAAAGTTCATATAAAACAAACATACAAATATATAGACTAGCCAGGAAAACATTTAAAAGAGAAAAACTATGAGACAGGAATAGCCATTCCAGACATCAATACTTACTGAAACTCCTTTATCAAATCATGTGGTACTGGTATGTGAACAAAGAAAACAGATGAATAACTAAAAACTCTAAGGTCAGACCCAAACACAGATGGAAATGTACCACAGGACAAAGGTGGCACCTTGGATCACTGAGGGATGGACTTGTAAATAAATGATGCTAACACAACTGGGAAGCCATTTGGGAAAAGACAAAATTGGGCCCATATCTAACACCATACATTTAGGGATCTGAATGTAAAACATGAAACCATACATGTACCAAGAGATAACATACGTGAATTCCTCTTTAACCTTCATGTAAGAAAAAGCTTACCATGACTAAAAATCCAGAGGCAATTAAAAGACTGATAAATTTGACTATTTAAAAATTTTATATGGCAAAAGATACCATAAACAAAGTTAAAAGAAAACTGAAACCCTGGGGGAAAATCTGCAACATATTCTTATCATAAAATGAATGTAATTCAACTGAAGAGACAATATGAACAGCTAAAGCCTAACTTAATTCAAACACAGGTAATGACAACTAAATTATTTAAGGATTAACAGTGATTTTTGAGACATATCTCAATTTCAAGATATTAAAACTTTTTAAATATCAATTTAGAATTGATTTAATGTGATGTAACTAATTTAATGTTATTCTAACAAGAATGCCATGGCTTTAAGGTACTTAGTCACTATAACAATTCTGAGATTCAAATTTTAGATCTGATGATTTATATCCTCTAGATGCATGTCATAATATATATGTATATATATGCTAGTATATATATATATATATATATATATATTGTAAATGGGTTTACAAATATATAGAAAAATTTAAAAATTTGAAAAATAAATAATTTTGGTATATTTAAAAAAATAAACACCTATGTCATTTACTAGTATGCTTTTTGTTTAAATATCTCAACTTTTCAGTCTAATTTAAATATTTAATACTGAATGTCCAGGAATAGTGTTTACATATAAAATAAAGGTAGTAAAAGGGAGCAGGCGAGTCTTTTCTATTTCCTAAGGAGGACTTTTTAAAGGCAGACAAAAAAAGAAAAGATTAACACATGTCTTCTATTAGAAAATGAGATACATGGTATATTTATATATTTGAATACTAAAAGAAAGGGAGGTAAGATAAATCTAAACTATTAACTCCTTCCTCTAGGGAGAAAAATTATTGAAAAACTGAAAGAATATCGTGACTAAACAACCTTAATGAAAACAAGAATTTCCTGGTAATCTTATTTTATCTAAGTAATGTGTGTACATTTTATATCCTAGTCCACAATTATAGATCTGTTTACCTATTTTTAGAGCTACTTCTGAGTTAAATCATTTGTACTCCCCAAATCTTCAAGGAAAATGGATACTCTGGAAAGATGGACCATATTCATCTTATGGTTTCTCGTACATTTTTTAAATTAAATTTAAATTTTTTTTTTACTTATTTAAAGATTTAATTTGTTTATTCAAGAGAGAAAGGACAAGCGGGGAGATGGGCAGAGGGAAAAGCAGACCCCCTGGTGAGCAGGGAGCCTGACTCGGGGCTCGATCCCAGGACCCTGAGATCATGACAT